CGGCGCCCAGGCGCCAGGACTCGCGCGGGGGAGGAGCAGACCAGTCGGTCATGTGCTCTTCTCGCCGACGCGCGCCAGAGGCCAGAAGCTGCTGTTCTGGCCTCCTCGCCACCTCGTAAGTCAGCTGAGGGGGCAATGAAGAGGGTAAGGGGCGTGTGCGCTTGCCTGTGTCGATCTACGGCGTCGGATCCAGTGACGCGTGTGCCATGGTAAGCAGGCGACCTTGCCGAGATGAGTAACTCATCTATGCTTCCCGGCGGAAAACGCTGCAAGAGGTCAGCTTCATCCAGGGCCAAGACGAGCTCCTCTCGTCTGGCCCTCGTTATAATCACAAGCCGGTTCCGGCCTACAAGAATATTTAAACGGTTGGGCTCCACCCAGATAAACATACAGACCCCAGGAGGAGGAGGAGGAGGAGGAGGAGGAGGAGGAGCGACGAACGAGGAGGAGGAGGAGGAGGAGGAGGAGGAGGAGGAGGAGGAGGAGGAGGAGGTGCCGCCGCGCCAGCACGCCACGCCGCACCGCCGATGCATCGGAGATGCCGGCGCGGAGAACATCGGGCACCACATCGAGCTGCGCCGCCGGTGCATCGGCCATGCGGCGCGAGGTTCCAGCAGCGTGTGGCCGTGCTCGTCTCTACGCGCGCGTGTGTGCGCTCTCCTCCTGGCGCGGGCCCCGTCGCGCTCTCGGCCCCTGGCCCCCGGGGACCGTCCTGGCGCCACCGCCCCCGCCAGACCACCCCCAGGGGCGGAGGCCAAGCACCACACGCCCACCGCGACTGCGCCACGACGCCCGAGGAGGTCCGAGGACGAGTCTGCACAAGAGGCGGGCGGATGCATCACACTGCGCTGGCGGCGCGCAGGAGTGGGCTGGGCGAGGGGGGAGGAGGAGGGGGAGGGGGAGGGGGAGGGGGAGGGCGAGGGGGAGGGGGAGGGGGAGGGGGAGCGTCATATCTGACGTCCTACCCCTCCCTCCCATCCCTTACCATGGCGCTGATTTTCTCTATCCGCGGACGCGTGTCGTAGCGGACCTGTGGCTCCGCGCGCGCGTGCGTAGTGGGTGGTGGTGCACGTGCGTGCGTGCGTGCGTGCGTGTGTGCGTGGTGGTGGGTGGTGGTGGTTGTGGTGGTGGTGGTGGTGGTGGTGGTGGTGGTGGTGGTGGTGGTGGTGGTGGTGGTGGTGGTGTGGTGGTGGTGGTGGTGGGTGGTGGTGGTGGGTGGTGGTGGTGGTGGGTGGTGGTGGTAGTGGTGGTGGTGGTGGTGGTGGTGGTGGTGGTGGTGGTGGTGCTGGTGGTGGTGGTGGTGGTGCTGGTGGTGGTTGTGATAGTGGTGGTGGTGGTGGTGGTGGTGGTGGTGGTGGTGGTGGTGGTGGTGGTGGTGGTGGTGCGGAGCGGTGGTGGCGGGCGGATGGGCGCGCGAGAAAGAGGCCCGCGCTGAGGCGAGAACGCCATCCTGAACGACGGAGGCCAAACACCGATCCGAAAGTGAGGCCCACGCTGCAGCGGGAGCACGATTCGGAACGATTCGGGAGCAGAAATGAAGCCGGCGCCTCGGCGAGAGCAGCATTTTGATATTTAAAAAAAAGAAAAAAAACGCAGGCGACAACCCGTTTCCCGGGAATCCTGTGTGTGTGTGTAAAAAAAAAAAAAAAAAAAAAAAAAACATACGCGGGGGGGGTCGGCCATCTTCGGGACGCCATCAGGGGAAGTGGGAGAGTATTTTCATATTGTGTAATTGTGGAGGAAAAGGAGGAGGAGGAGGAGGAGGAGGAGGAGGGAGGAGGAGGAGGAGGAGGAGGAGGAGGAGGAGGAGGAGGAGGGGGAGGGGGAGGGGGAGGAGGGCAAGCTAGATGCGCTCGCGTCATGTCAGACATCCTACCCCTCCCTCCCATCCCTTACCATGGCGCAAATCCTCTCTCTACTCGCACAGTCGGATGTCGAGCAAGGCAATGTTCTCTGAAGGGTACGCGATGCATCGTAGAGCACGGCATGGCATGGCGTAGAAGAGCACCGCGAAGCGTAGCATCAACCTAGCATTGCATCGCATGCCGTGGCATGGCACGGGAAATGACGCCAGCGCTGCAGCGGGAGCGCGAGTCGAAACGAGCGGAAGCGCGGAAATGAGGCCAGCGCTGCATAGCGCTGCAGCGGGAGCACGATTCGGAACGAGCGGAAGCACACCGGAATCGGCCCGGGAGGCTTCCTGGGCGCCAGAAGCAGAAATTCAGCATTTTCAAGAGGAAAATGTCATTTGGAATGACCTTTTTTCGGCGCCGCCTCGGAACTACATTTTCTGGCGCCGGCCGGAACCGGCTCCGGACCCGGCCCGGGGGCCGGCCCGGGCGCCGGCTCGGGCGTCCGGCCCGGGCGCCAGCTCGGGCGCCGGCCCGGGCGTCGGAATCGGCACAGGTGGCCTCCCGGGCGCCGGAAGCAGAAATTCAGCATTTTCTAAAGAAAAATGTGTATTAGAATGGCCTTTTTTCGGCGCCGCCTCGGAACTCGATTTTCCGGCGGCGGCCGGAACCGGCTCCGGACCCGGCCCGAGCGCCGGCCCGGGCGCCGGCTCGGGCGTGCAGCCTGGGCGCCGGCGGAAATGCGGCCAGCGCTACAGCGGGAGCACGAGTCGGAACGAGCGGGGCCCGAAAATGAGGCAGGCGCCTCAGCGAGAGCAGCATTTTGGGAAAAAATGCAGGCGAAAACCCAACTCCAGGGAAACCTGTGTGTAAACAAAAAAATCCCGGCAAAGCAACCTAACAGCGATGTGTATAAGCATATCTGGAAGCATTCCCCTAAAGATTCAGGTGAGAATCCAGTTGTAGAGTTCTGCTGTTCTCGCAGTCGCAGTCGCATTCGCAATGACAGTCGCAGTGGCAACGGCCTTAGGATCCAATGGAATCCTAAGGATTCCTAAGGATTCCTGAGGATGCTTAACTATGCCTACGGAATCCTAAGGATGCCTACGGATTCCTATGGATTCCTACGGATTCCTAAGGATTCCTATGGATTCCTACGGATGCCTCAACCTGCCTCAGTTTCAGCCTCAGCCTCAGCCTGCCTCGGCTTGCCTCAGCCTCGGCTCAGCCTGCCTCGGCCTCAGCCTCAGCCTGCCTCAGCCTCAGCCTCAGCCTGCCTCGGCCTCAGCCTGCGTCAGCCTCAGCCTCAGCCTGCCTCAGCCTCAGCCTGCCTCAGCCTCAGCCTCAGCCTCAGCCTCAGCCTCAGCCTGCCTCGGCTTGCCTCAGCCTCAGTCTCAGCCTGCCTCGGCCTCAGCCTGCCTCAGCCTCCCCTCCTCCCCCCCCCCTTCCCCCCCCCAATTCAGCCTCACCTTGTCTCAGCTTCGGCCTGCCTCGGCCTCATCCTCAGCCTCAGCCTCAGTCTCAGCCTCAGCTTGCCTCGGCCTCAGCCTCAGCCTGCCTCAGCCTCAGCCTGCCTCAGCCTCAGCCTGCCTCAGCCTCAGCCTCAGCCTGTCTCAGCCTCAGCTCAGCCTCAGCATCAGCCTCAGCCTCAGCCTCAGCCTGCCTCGGCTTGCCTCAGCCTCAGCCCTGCCTCAGCCTCTCAGCCTCAGCCTAGCCTCAGCCTTGCCTCAGCTTGCCTCAGCCTCAGCCTGCCTCAGCCTGCAGCCTCAGCCTCAGCCTCAGCCTCAGCCTCAGCCTCAGCCTCAGGCAGCCTCAGCCTCAGCCTCAGCCTCAGCCTCAGCCTCAGCCTCCAGCCTCAGCCTCAGCCTCAGCCTCAGCCTGCCTCGCCTCAGCCTGCCTCAGCCTCAGCCTCAGCCTCAGCCTCAGCCTGCCTCGGCCTCAGCCTGCGTCAGCCTCAGCCTCAGCCTGCCTCAGCCTCAGCCTGCCCCAGCCTCAGCCTCAGCCTGCCTCGGCGTGCCTCAGCCTCAGCCTCAGCCTCAGCCTGCCTCGGCCTGAGCCTGCCTCGGCCTCAGCCTGCCTCAGCTCGGGCATTCGAAATATGGCGCAGGACTGGTATTCTGGGAACACGAAGATCACGAAGTGGCCCACCGTTGGCAACGGGCAATCAAAATATGGTGCAGGAGAGGTGTTCTGGGAACACGAAGAACACGAAGTGGCCTACAGCTGGCTCCGGGAATTCAAAATTAGCCTGGGAATGGTGTTCTGGGAGCACGAAGAACACGAAGTGGTCTACGGTTGGCTCCGGGCATTCAAAATATGGCTTGGGAATTGCATTCTGAGAAGACGAAGAACACGAAGTGGCCTACAGTTGGCTCTGGGCATTCCAAAATGTGGCCTGGGAATCGTGTTCTGGGAACACGAAGAAAACGAAGTGGCCTACAATTGGCTCCGGGCATTCAAAATGTGGCCTGGGAATGGTGTTCTGTTGGCTCCGGACAACCAAGTGGCTCCTGGCAATGAAAATGGGGAGTCCCCGGTTTTCCCCAGCATCCCCCGGATCCTGCCCAGACCCCCCTGGGGAGTCAAGATGCTCTCTGTTGACCCCACTAGAAACCTATCAGTCTTCGCTGTTAGGTAACAGGTCGGATACTCCCAAGCCGTCATCAGGGGAAGAGGGAGAGTAGTATTCATGCAATTGTGGAGGAGGAAGGGGAAGGGGAGGGGGAGGAGGGGAGGGCCTGGTGAAAAAGCGGGGAAAGGTCTTGGGAGGGCCTGGCGGCCTCTGAGAGGGCTGCGTGTGGTAGGCAGGGGGAGCCTCAGAGCAACAGCCCCCTCCTCACGGGAATGACCCCCTCGCCGCGCCCGCAAGCCTGACCCGTTCAGAACCAGCCTCCAGGCCGAGAAATCCGCGCGGAGCTTCGAGTTTTACGTTTATGCCATTTTTCGCTCCCGTACTCCAGGCCCCTCCCGAGGCCCATCCCTGGCCAGCCACTCAAGCCGCGCAGCGGCCCTGGCGACGAGAGCCTCCACGCGAACCCCAGCATACCTCCAGAACGACGACGTCGACGACGTCGCCCACAGTCGCAGGTCGCCCCCCCTCTGCACGCCGCCAGGTTGAACTGCGACGCGCGCGACCCCGCCGGCGCGCCCTCAGATGCTAGCAACGCTTCGCGCGGTGAAGATCCCACCAGACGGATGCGTCGGCTCCCGCCGCGGAGTGTCGTAGCCCATCTGGAGCCTGAGCTTCGAGTAGAGGGAGGTGTCCTCCTGCGGGGCGCGAGGAGGGCGCCGCACTAGCACAAGACCAGTCGGCGTCGGATCGGGAAACCGAACCCGATCGGGACGTTCGTCGGGTCGGGCTGCATCGGCACGGAGTCGGAATCGAATCGGATCGGCTGCGCGGAGCAAATCGGGCCCATCTCGCGCCGCATCGGCGATGCGGCGCGATCCTCCGACCGCATCCACTCAGACCCCATCTGGGAGGCCCAGAGGTCCTCAGTTGTCTACCCTCCTCCTCCTCCTCCTCCTCCTCCTCCCTCCCTCCTCCTCCTCCTCCTCCTCCTCCTCCTCCTCCTCCTCCTCCTCCTCCTCCTCCCCCTCCTCCTCCTGAGCCCGCGGGTCGCGTCGAACGCCCCCGATCACTGACACTGGAGGCGGGGCAGGGGTCCTGAAGCAATTGAGGGGAGACCAGAAAAGTGCCGATGTCGCTACTCCCCAGACCCCTCCCAGGGTGCGGTCGGAGCAAGACTTCGAGGCGAATCCGGCGGTGACAACGAGGGCAGCCCTGGAGGCTCCCCAAGAGGGAAGCGAGGCGAGGGTGCGCAGCGGTACAGGTCAGGTTTTAATACATAGGATGTTTAAAACTATAGGATGCTTTAATACATGGTTAATGTATGAATGCAGATATGCATGAATTCACCAGTTTTTAATACTAAACCCCTGCAATTTTGATACATGATCCGCACGCGGAACATGCACTAAAAACGGCACTGTATGGGCACCATTCCCTCCTCTGAGAAACAGCTTGCATCTCAATGGTGGGATGATGATGATAGAGATGATGACGATGATGATGATGATGAAGATGATGATGATGATGATGATTTCCCTCCAAGGACCGACGGCAATGAGAGATGACAACCGATGCAGTGAGCCCAGCCCAGATCCATCTCTCAAGATGGGAGCTAAACAATAACTAAAAACTTCCTGCAGCACACCTGCTAAAATCCCACTGAGTGCATACCCTGAGAGAGAGGGAGGGCCGATCAGAAGCTAAGCCCGTGGCCATGCGACGATCGAGGGAAACAGACCCTGCCCTCACAAAATCTCTCTCTCCAGAGAGCAGGCGGAGCCTTGCGGTACTTCATCGGTAACCTGGCGGCAGCAAAATTAAAGAGGAATAGTCGGCGGCCAATACAGCTGAAGCAAGGCTTGTCACTTGCAACAGCCAATGGACGCCGCAAGAAGCACTGTTTGGGGAAACACGGGCCGCGCAAAGGACCCCAAGAGGAGCAGGGAGAGCGGCTTTCGGGGAACCCCGACACGGGCATCAGCAGAGAGCGAGGCCAAGCCCGCTGCCCCCAGCGGGGCACGAGGAGAACAGAGCAACAAGACGACAGAATGGTACATGCACAGCGAACGACCCCGCAGGTCCCAGCAGGGACAGTGAGCAACTAGCCCCAGGGGGGCAAAGGTATATAAGGCCCTACTAGGAAGAGGCAGACCAGGCACGAGCAACCTTGGGGTGCCGCCGAGTGTGCAAGCGGATGCGGCCTTTGAGGAGATCCATCGGCGACAGCCTGGACCCCTCGCGGAAGCTGGCTTGGACAAAGAGAAATCCATCCAAGAGGCTCGCACAGATTAATCGTTGCTTAAAAAAACCGGGGAGGGGCAATAAAGGTTAAACATCGGAACCAGGACTCTTCGCTAAAAAAAGGATGGAGGCAAGGGGCGAGAGCTAAACTCAGCCGTCGAAATTCAGGACATACCGCATAGTGCTCCATAGAGTCGCTGGCCCCAGGGGCACCGCAGTTCCAGCGGCATCCGATAGGCCCATGATGAAATCTAGCACGGGCACAGACACCCCTCGCCGAGACACGTGGGACCGAGAGCCCCAGATAGAGAGAACTTACCTTGCAAACCTTGCGGACAATCTGAACGGCGGCAGAGATCTGGGCGACTGAGACCCCAGGGGCCCATCGGACCACCCGGGCGTGAAGGCAGCGGATAGGAGAGATCGGAGGAGCACGGACACGAAGGATTCGCGTGAGCTTCTTTTGAAACCCCGAGGCCTGAAGAAAGCCAGCGCACAGGTGGACGTGCCCACTCCACATGCCAATAAGAGACCGACAGAACCTGTGCTGCCACCAAGGATGCCGCATCCGAGCAGGGTGGAAATCGCCCTCCTGGGAAAGACCAAGAATCTGACCACGGATTCGCGGGAATACAGCACTGTTGCGGGCAAGACGAACCTGAGTAGCAATGCCGATCTGGGCCAGATCAGGGAACTCCAACGATAAGCCAAGGTCACACATCCTGGTACACATCATTCTGTTGAAGGCAAACCGAGGACCCGCCATGAGTTTCTGTTGCATGTTCCCTTCGCACTTCAGAACCGCCGACGACGGAGGCTAGAACTGCATCACAAACCTGAGAACCGAGACGGCAAATATCACGTACGTTCTAATAGTCATAGCGAGCCCAATCCGAAGTCTCCGAATCTCAATACAACGCTGATGAAATTTCTGCAGCGCGGCGCCCCACCTGTGCTTCCAACCTTTTGGACCAATCTGGATCCCAAGATATCGAGCATGCCGAACCAACCCAATGGCATCAGCCCCATTCCCAAGACTAGCGAGTAACCTGCGAATCAGTCGAGACGAACGCGGAGAAAGGCTCATACCACAGTGGGTCAATACACACTTCTTCATGTTCAGAGCAAGCCCAATCCCAGGATGCAGACGCTGAAGTAGCGGGGGAAGGATCGGTAGATCAGCGCTCACATCCCGAAGCCCGAACCACAAACCGTCAGCATATGCCAAGATTGGCCGAGGGAGACGACAACAAAGCCAGCGAATGCACGGGTCGAGAGCGAGAGCGAAGAGCAGCATGCTGGACGGGCCCCCTTGGCGAACACCCCGTAGCAGGCGAATCGCTCTGTGACGCTTCCCACCAAAGCAGATGGCCCCCAGGCTATCGGAGTACAGCGACTCGAAAAAACCAACAACTCCAGGAGGAACAGCAATCAGGACCAACACCCGAAGGAGCCAAGAAATCGCAATGCTCGGAAACGCAGCAGCAAAGCCGGTCAGGAACATGCATGCCAGGTCCCTCCCTGTCATACAATGCAGAACCCCCCAACACTCCGCCTCAAGAATCTGGTCTGTCATAGACCTCCCTCGAATGCAAGCCTGAACCTTGTGCACGCACTCGCGCGCCTCTTTCTCCAGTTGGGAAGAGAACGCCACAGACATTATCTTACAGTCAGTGTTCGACATGGCGAGAGGACGACATGCATCAGGAGACCGAGAGGGGCAATCAGTAAGATCCGTCGGATTCTCCTTCTTGGCTAGGAAGACAATATTCATTTCACGCATGGAGGGGGACATGTCGCGAGCACGATGGTCAAAGAGATGGCAGTAGAGATCATACAGGATGGCAATCGGGATAGGGGACTTCCAGCAAGAATCAACAATCCCATCAGGCCCCGGCATCGAATCGCGTCGCCTCCTTACCAATTTCTCAAAGTACCCGAAGCCAAGCCGCCACTGAGCGCCAGGAAGGGGGCGGACAGGAGAGATGTGAGCTTCAAGCTCAGGCCAGAGAGAAGTGTCGCAATCGAACTCACCAAAGACCGTTTCCCAGTGCCGAGCCAGCTCCTCCCCCGCCTCCTCAATGGTGCTGCGCGGAGCACCACCAGAGCTCAGGATAGTCCCAAGAGAAATCCGTTTCTGAAGAGGCCTCCAGAGCTCACGACGCCTTTGTAGCCTGGAACGCAGCCGAGCCTTAATCTCCAAATCAGTTTCTTTGTCAGCTTCCTGCTCTAACCCAGTCAGCCGAAGGTTCTGGAGCGACTGGATGTGATCACAAAGCGCAGGAAGATTCCGACAGGTGAGAGGGTCGATGACGAAGAAGCGGGACAGGTGAGAGTAGCAAGAAATGGCAGAGGAGACTCGCTGTGCATGCCGTGCGCGAAGACCCCTCAACGCAGCCAATGAAAAGTGAATCTTCTCATATGCAGTCCGAGCGACTTGCTGGGAGAGGAAGTAACGCGTCCGCTTACAGGCCTCAAACATACACCTCTTGACCACGGCAACCTGATCATTCATATGTGCAGTCCGATCCATGTCGCACAGGAGGGCTTCAAGCTCAGCATGAAACCGCGGATGCTTCCAAATCCACGGAGGGATAGAGGGATTCTCAGAAGGCTGGCATTTCCGAAACGTGGCCAGTACAGGAATGTGGTCAGAGACATTCTGCGTAGTCGTGGCTTTGCCAATAACCGAGCACGCGATGGAGAGATCAGAGAGAACAGCAGTAGGAGGGGCAATATACAGACGGTCAAGTCGGCTCACGTGGCAGATTTCCCCACTGACAATCTCACGACGGGAAGGATCTGGCTGGTGGACCTCAGTCCAACGAGGGAAGAAAAAGTGGAACATATCATGCCTATATCGATCTCCAGGCCTCCACCCCCGATCCATCCCCGCACTGACGGCAATCCTCCTCGAGGGCGAAATTGAAGTCCCCACCAATCATAACCAGAGCGTCAGGAGTCCCCAGAGCGTTCCGAATAAGCCTCAGAGACCTCCGACATGCCCACATAGGCCCCCCCCGAGGTAGGCAGGTGTACATTAAGGGCCCAGAGAGCACCCCGTCGACCGTTGCATTTAGAGACCAGGATACGGCCTTCATCAATACTGAAATGTCGAATGTCCGTGAAGGGAGCGCAGAGAGCAGGAGAGATCAGCGTAATCACACCACCAGCAATGTCAGAGGTATGCCCTGAGAATTCAATCGACCAACCCTGCAGATCTGCCTGGGGCGCTGCTGCATCACCAGCTGTGCCATGGGTCTCCTGCACGCGCAAACTACTGGAACGCCGAGACAATCCCAGAAGCTGCCTGCACCGACGAGAGGCCCGCAGAGAGGAGTGGTGAATGGAAGCGAAGAGCCCCCTAGAGTTCCACGCGAGCAAAGACAAAGAGCAAGAGGGAGGCGGAGAAAAGGGGGGGCAACGATTCAGCGGGCAGACCCCGCCTGGGCGA